CAACAGTACAGCACTATAACCGAAAATAACATGTAATGCACATCCAGTGACCAGGAGAAACTATTGACTGGAAGGTGTAACACAGTAAATGAGGGAAACAAGTTAAAGAACAAAGTTGAAAGTGGGGAGCACGAATGAGTAAAAGAGAACTGAAGCTGCGAAGAGCGGTCTTCAAACGCTTCCACTCTTCTCATTTTGGTTATCAAAACGTGGTTCTCATCCAATTTACTGACCGCCTGTGATCTTATTAATTTGCGCGTTTAATTGCTTCCAATCATATCTATTAGTCCCCAAATTCGGTTTCGCGTCGCTATAATAATTGTAACTGATTTAAAATATCTGTGGGCTCTTATCGATATCAGCAGAATCCATTTTCGCAGGCAGTTTTTTTAGTAATTTTTTTGAAATCAATTAAAAAAAGACTTGGACAAATTGAGCCTTCTGCTCTAAATACATTTGCTAAGACAGTGAGGCAGGGCTTTTGGGAATTCTGTAAATATCTGTTGGGACAGAACTGCTTAAAACCTGAAGCGAAGCGCGCTTTTTCACAGGGACTTTGTTTTGTTTTTTCAGTTGTTATATGGGTATCAATTGATGTAAATTAAAATTAACAAAATTACAAGGCTTTGTAATACCTTCTAGAATTCAAGAAACCAGAAATCACGGGAGAAAAAAACAAGGACATTTTTTTCAATGTAAAAGCTGAGTTGATCGAAACGGTATAAGGTAGAGTCGAGGACGAGGTGCTTAGAAGGCATTACTTCCAGTAGACGTTTATGTTTTGTAAAAAGGGGAAAACGCAAATTTGTTCACTGAAACGTTTGCCCAAAAAAGTGAATGAATGAAACTTGGAAAAATTCCTGTAACAAACTGAGCACATAGTTAACAGTAATACGGATTACTCTATATCTTTTTCCTTTTTGTAATTTTCTGTTGCTTCACGTTTCAAACCATTAAGTCCTCTTTTCTATCTTAGTTTAATTTAAAATCCGAGCTTGTCGCTGAAAGGCGAAAAAGATAAGACACTTCCTCTCACCTCGAGCGGAGATAGGGCAAATCAAGAAAATGTAGAATAAGTAGAGAAGCTGCCATGTTGGGCTATATGAAGGATCGAAGAGATGGTAGTGATATAGGCCCGCACATTGTTACCTATCAATTATAGTCCTAGTTTTTTTCCATTGTTTTAGCTTTTTGAGCCTTTGATTTTGTCCATACCGTCACAAATTATGAGTAACTATTGTTGTTCTATATCTTTATTGCTTTACATAACTTCATGGTTTTCATTGTCCAAGTTTGAGGCGACAAATAAACATCTATTGGCGACGTTTATTGAAACCCGCGTGGAAAATCTAGTGACTAAATATATCTAAGCAAGTCACTACGAGCGAACCGAAGCGAAGCAAAGAACTCATAAAACCACTATGACGATCTTCTCGTAGAACTGACGCACAAGTGAACTTGTCAAAAATGGAACTTCACTTCTCAGACCTTTCGTTTCAACGGCTCTTTCTAGCCAAGTTTAGGGAGCACAAAATGACTACATCAGAATAAAAAAGTCGAAAATCTGTACAGCGAAAGGTTTGAATTTGAAGACCAGGAAATTAGAAAAAAATACATTAAGGGCTATCAAGTAAATCAAAGTACATTAAGGTCACCATCTTAAAATTCGTTTTCTAGGAACTAAACACAAGACATTGTGAGGGGGTGCTGAGCACAATGGAGAGCAAAGCAAAGCTGAATAGCCAACAAATCTTTGTTTCCGATGGCTGTTTAAACCTGAGAAAATGAAGGGAAGTGAAAACACATCTGCGAAGCCAAAACTTTAGAGTGGCAAAACCCTTTGTTGGGAAAAAAGTAGGTGGAACTTGCCTATGCAACCGGTCAGGTAGGCTGCAGAAATTTCACTATGGTATTCAATAGTCTACAAAACTCTAAATTCAAAAACTTATCTCGCTTCTAACAAAATGAACAACCTTCAGATGGTTGCTGCTGGCTGTTTAATGTTTCTGAGATGGCAGACTAAGAAGAACTTCAATTCTGCTCAATGATAACTCAAAACTGGCCCGCTAAATTTGTTTAAAAATTCGATGAATTGGCAGAACATTATGAATTGGCATTATGACTTTTATTTCACATAAATTAAAATTTAACAAACCGAACGACAACAGTCCAGAAGTTGTTGCGAAACGTTTTTAGTAATCAGCAGTCAAGTAAACGACACGACCAAAACAAATGCAGTGTTGGTGGAAGTTAATTCGTTAATGCCATAAGTTGTTTTAATTTCAAAGTTATCTCTAACTAGATTGCGGTTCAGTAATGGTTCGTCAGATTTAAGAGCGAGATCAACAACATGAAACCACAAACTGATGTAACGGAGTAATGCTTAATGCGTCTAGCACTTAAAATTGTAAAGCGACTTTTTTTAGGAAACAGTTAGTTACTCACAGTTAGCCTTTAGAGGACTATTTCCCTTTTTCTGAGATATACTCTCCAAAACTGATTAGAAACTGGAGCAAAATGATGTAAATAACAAACTAAGTAACTTAATCGTCTTCTTCAGCTTGGCCAGTGGATCCGGCGGTTGATCCGGAGTCCTGAAGAAAATCTAATTCGGAGCCATAATTCCTTGAGGACCTGCCGCACTCACCTAGGAATAAAAGTCATGTATTGTTAAACACTTGATTTTAATGCTCTGGCACCCTTATCACTAAAAAAAGATGTGTTGAGCAGTGGAGTAAAATTACTTGTAAATCGAGTGCCAGAACGACCTTTACCAGCACGCCGGCTTAACGTGACTGATGTTTTCAACTGTGAGTTTTCTCTAGCAAGATTTTCGTTAGTTTCATTGAGTTCATCAATAGTTCGTTGCAACTGTCTCGCCTTCATACGTTCGCGACTGATTTCTTCTTCCAGATCTTCGATTTGTTTCCGTGTTTGCTTCATCCTTGCTTGGATACGATCCACCTTAAAACCTAAGCAGGTTAGATGGGGTTCAGACGCGAACATTAATGTTAAAGAAGGCTAGATGGCAAATTACTGTTGATTTCGCCTGTTCTGTCTTGCGTCTTTCTTCTTCATAAGATGCATTTGCTTCAGCAATTTTTTTTTCGAGCCGCCGACACTGGAATTGAAAAAATCGCAAAAGAGCTTGAAAGAAATATGTTAAAGTAAAAACCACGCATAAGAGCTTGAACTCAAGTTGTAAATGCATAGTTCCTTGCAATCATTCTCCAATATATCTTATAACCGTAAAAAATAAGCAAACTAGGACCACTTTACCTATAAAAAAAATTAGGCATTACTGCAAAAAATAACATATTTTCTAACAAGCAAGAGGCTCTATTCCAAATGGGAACACTAGAACTGACAACCGGAGCAACCAAAGTTCGTTTGACTATATGGGAATTCAAAGCAAACAAGCTTTTAAGACTTTCCATAAAAAAATCACTGGTCATGAAAAAATGACACTTTTCAAATTAACAGTGTCGTTGCCAATTCTCAAAACATCACGCCTTACACTACAAAAAAATTTTTCTTCGATTTAACTATGTAGAGAACACAGTTCTCCAGACACTTCTTGAGACTGAAAGAACAACTTTCTTCGGAAGCTTGTTTATAAGACTCGATAACTCCAGCAAAAAAATCCAGCTACTTTTCGTTTCAAAGCAAAACCTTCCTTAAAAGCCATTTTTATGAGAGAATAAATAACATGGGTGGTAGAAAATGAACTTAGAGAAGAAAGTCATTGTCTAAAATCAAAAATTTCCCGCAGATCGCGAAAGCAGTGGGCTTTTTAACACGTTCCTCAAAAAGCATCATTTCTTCATCTTCCACTACTGGCCGATGTTGTCTTTTGCCTTCTCCAGAACGTCATCTAGTCCACAATACACTGTTGCCGCAGCGGGTTCATCAAACCTTACGTTTGGGAAATCCCTGTTTCAACCCAAATAACTAATACGACTGTCTTCTAGTGAAGAAGTCATCCAGAAAACTAGCAATTTTTTCTGTGATCTTGTAACTGCTCTTACTCAACTGTTAAGTAAACATGAATTTTTATTTCAAATCGCAATACAACTCAAAAGGTGGAAAATCTTTAGTGTGCTTGCTGGGTTTGGCAAAAAGGGATATTCCGCGATTCTGTTCCTCAACCATTTCACGTGCCAGCTACTGACATACTATCTTTTCCCTCCGTTTATTTTAAAGAAAGTTTGCCGATTACGTGAGAGGATGTGTCTAAATTCCCTGTAAACCCTCATTCAGTGCTTCTGCTTCGTAACGTGCTACTTATTCTTAACTGAGATTGTTCATTGCGAAATGCCAATTGCCTGTGATTTCTTTCTTCTCGTTCAATATTTCTCCTACAGAATTTGGCATACCAATGTTTCAAAACGCTCAAACGGAACTCCTCACACCTAATAACGCCTAATGAATTTCGCGAACAAGAACACCGTTTCTGCTCTTATTTAACGGAACTGGATCCAAATATCAACCTTTAATACGTAAGAAAACTACAGAATAGAAAACGTTTCGATAGGAATTAAAAGGAGATTCTAGTGTAGAACACAAGTTTGACTTAACACCAGCATTTAAATTCTTTCTCAGCTGTTTGCCAGTTGAAGAATCCTTGTCATAGCTTTATAGACCAAAAATGATTCACTATTGAACAGGCTAGTTGATGTTAATTAGAGATTAGGTCCTTTTTCTAGTTTAAAATCAATATTTCTTAAATATCCAGATGTAAACTTGAAACAAACTTGACGCAAAGCAGCATTTTTGTCCTGTGTTTCTCTGTCACATTCGCTTTCCGCTGCTTGTAGCTTAGACTCCAACTGCGCAAGCTGTGCCTTAATTCTCCCAGCAACAGCAGATTCTAATTCAGCAATCTTAAAGTAAAAGCCTTCGTGTTAAAACTTCATAAACCTGTAAAACCCATAGGCTGAAACTGCCAGCTTTAAACAAAACAGTTAAAGCTACCTTTACATTTTTTAAAATAAAAGATTTAAGTACTTTTTGGGTTAGTTCCTGGTTCTTCCTCTCCAGTGATCTAATTTTGCCCTCTGCTTGTTCATTTGCTGACCTTTCTACGGAAACTTCTGACGTTAACGCCTCAACCTGTAAGAAGCTTATTTTCCTGTTGATGCGCCTTAAAAAAAACGTGAAATTTTAGGGCAAGCATTTACAACTAAACTTTCGACAGCAGAATTAAAAAATTCAGCAGTAACGCAGAGCTCTCGGCCACAAAACGCAAAAGCAAACTAACTGCATTCCAAGCGTAATAAAGTAGAAAATTAACCTGTAATTGCGTTTTCTTGAGCTTGTCATTAGTCACTTCCACATTTCCCCTCTCTTCCTCCAGTTCTTCCATTAATGCTTCGATCTGATCTTCATATCTTTTTTTCTCTTCTGTAGGGAAACCCGGTTTTCCAGCTAATTCTTCTACAAGTTCATCGCGTTCAACTTCAACTTTTCTCTTTGCGGCAACCAAATCAGCATTGGCATCCCCCAGTTGAGATACTTCTGTCTCTAGCGAGCGAACTCTAATCAAAATAAAATCAGAGTAAAAAATTATATTTTTTTTAAACAAAAGGAAATGAAAAGAGAGAATTAGGCAAGAAAATCACTTTTTTTCAAAATCTTTGGACTGCACTACAGCATTATCCCTTTGTGCTTGAAGGTCAATCACTGACTGCTGCAGTTCTTTAACTGTACCACTAGCTTTCCTCAACTGGCGTCCGAGATCTTCTTTAGCCCGAGTTAAGTTTTCAACGTCCGTTTGCACACGAGCAATTTCTGCATCAGCTTTCTTCTTTTGTTGTAAAGCAGTAGTTTTCGCCCTTTTTTCGGCTTCCAACTCCTCTTCCATTTCACGAATCTTTTATAAGATAAAGTAAAAATGTTTATCTGACTAAAAAAAAATAAAAAAACTTTTCTGCAATTTTTTTCTTTGTTACTTCTGTTAATAGAGACAAATACAACAGTCATTTTTGTTTTTTTTCTAGGCAGAATCACTATATCACTTAAGTTGAAGTTTTAGATTTTATTTTACATGTATAAAGAAAATTCACCAAAATATCAATACCTTTCTTAAAAGTCCCTTACGTTTCTCATCTTCAGTTTCTTCTCGATCTGAAAGAGCTTTTTCTAGTTCCGTTTTTGCCTGTTGCAGATTAATTTCAGTCCTTAACCGCGCATCCTCAGCTATTTGCAAGCTGTCTTCTAATTCAGTAATTTCATCCCTCGCTTTTTCAAGTTCGTTTTCCAGCAGCCGCCTAGCCCTTTCTAACTCCGGTACAGTTTTTTCAGTATCTTCTTTCGCAGAAACCTTTGAAATAAACCCGAGATCATAATTGAAATCAAAAAATGACAAGGTAATTTTGGAGAAATAATTCTTTTCTTTCATTTAAGTCTTACTGAGCTGACAATGCTGTTTAAAAAACAAACGAATAAAAGTAGAAGCAGAAGTTTTTGCTTACGAAAAAAAATTTTGAAGGAAAATTACAATGAGTTTTGACTAACAATGCTATCCAAATCCATCTGTAAAGTTCGCTTGGCCTTTTCTGCTTCTTCTAAACGTTGTGCAATAGCACTCATTTCGTTAGCCATCACCAGCGTTTTTGATTCTCGTTCACGTAACTATAAACAAATACCACTGATATGCCACGGGTACATCAAAAAATAGCAAAGTTTAGTAGAATTTCGTCTTATTATTGATAGATGTAATGAACCACAACAACTCTTAGGAATCATACGACTTACAGTAACCAAAAATAGAGCAAATTTCAAGGATAGCATAAATCTTACTGGTGTTGCAAACCATATTCAAAACAAAACTAAAACTAACCTTTAAAAAAACGAATCAAATTATAGATAATTTAGAAATTAATAAATAAACTTTGAGACGTAAAACCAAGACGGCTACTTTCCTACTCCAAAATAAGGTGAAACAAATCCGAATTGTTTTGACAACTCAGTAACTTAAAATCAGGACAACTTCTTTCAAAGTGGCATCGAAGTAACCTCTTGAGAAAGTTGATCAACTTCAGCAGTCGCCTTAGCCACTTCAGACTTCTCTTCCGCAAGCTGTTGGTCAAATTTACGCTGCTTTTTTTCCATCTCTCGAAACTGTGCTCTCATTGTATCTAATTCGACAACCATATCTTCTTTCTGCAAAGAAATACAATGATTTGTTTAAAAAATAAAAAACTTTAAAAAAAGACAGCTGACCCAGTGGTATTCCAATGTAAGTTAATGTCACCGTTAAGAAATTAAGAAAGAAGCCGTAAGAACTGAAATGTGCTATCTCATGAGGTGTAAAGTTTCAAAAAAAATGTTTTTTTAGAAGAACCCAGTAGGATCCTTAATATTTACCATAACACAACAAAGTAGAACACCGAGTCAAAAAGTATTATCTACTCCACTTCCTAGCTAGCAGGTTTCATCAGAAGTATAAGAAGAAATGAACAACAGGTTGCGGCCTTAATCTCCATCATTTATAAGACAAAATTTTCTACCTCCTGAAGCACCTTCTTCTTGCCTTTCTCACTTCGAGAAAGACTTTCCTCTAGTTCTTCGCACCTTGTTTTCCACGAGACAATCTCTTTTTCTGCCTTTCTTTTCATTTCTTCAACACCTTCTTCCAAAAATTCTTCAATTTTCCGTTTTTCATCAGCAAATTGTTGCTTAACCGTGCTCAGCTCCTAGAAAATAAACTAAATAACAATACTGTAGAGAGCCAAAAGAATTTTATTAAAACGTACTTCAGAAACTTTTTTACCTTATGTTATTCTAAGAAATGAAACAATCTCAATCTTTTAAAATTAATCAAAGAGAAATGAGGTTAGTAACTAAGGCTTTACGTTAAATTCCTGCGTTTTTGCAATGATCAGCTGCTGTAACAAAGAAATTCATGTCAGAATACCTTTTCTAATTTTTGCCTCGTATTTTGTTCGTCCTCATACTGTTCTGTCAGTTCATTCATATCCTCCTCAATACCAGTGCATTTTTCTCTCCATTTTCTCAACTGCTCTTGCTGATCCTTCTGAATCTCCACTGCTTCTTCAAGCTTAAATAAAGAATGTTGAGTAACAAAGATTCAAAATTAGATAGGGCTCAAAGTTCAATTCAACGTGATTTAAACAAATAGCTTACTATTTAAAGAAACAGAAACATCAA